TTTTAAATTATGATTTATATTATTTTCTAACATGATTTGAAAAGCAAGCAAATAAAGTCTCATTATTTGTATTTATTTGTATGGAGGTATATTTTTGCCCATGAAATTGAATTTCACTCTTAATTCAAAATGTTTAGTATAACTTTTTTCCATCAAGCATTTTTTTTAATGTAGAAAGTCTTTAAAATTTAAAATTTATACACACATTAATTACTTTTAAGTTTTATCTCTTGGACCATTCATTCAAATTATGATATTATATTAAAAAAATGTTTTAATTTGAAAGCTTATGATGTTAATATAAAATCTATGTTATTTTATAACGTTGAGGTTACTTATTTGGTGAAATAATTAATCATGTTTCCTTCTTGCTTGAATAAAAAGAATTAAGTCACTCTCACGAGAGACCATACTCCTTGAGGGCTAAGAGCTGGATTGCTTTAAGAATCTATTTTGTCTGCAAATAAATTAAAAAATAAAATAAAATTGTGGTCAATTGATCTAGCTCCTAGTGTTGGGTGACTTCAGAACAAGTAATATCTTGAGAAAATCCCTTGAGGCTTAGCACCAGAAATCTTCGATTGCTCTAACTTCTAGTGTTGGGTCAATTTACTTGAACATCCAACCCAAACCCACCTGTTAGTTGTTTGTTCATGGTTATTATATATTCATAAACAATCATTACTCGAACCTACCGAGCTCCTTCTCAGTGCCACCTAAAATCTCAAAGCTCCATTTCATGGTTTTTTGGCCTCGTAAACTCTCTTCCATGCCATCGGATTCACTGCCTAGAGTAGAAATTCTATAAACTGTGCTTATGGAAATTTATGCTTTCAAGCGCTAGGCCAGGCCGAGATCAAAATCTAAACTTGAAACTTACATATGCTTTTTAAACTTAAAATTTATATAGGTTTATTTCGTCTTATATTTTGATTTTTATTAAATAAATAAAAATGATAAAATTTGAATTTGTGACTACTTGTTCATCAAAACTATAATACCATGTCAAATAATCATTCTAACTTAATAATTTAAGCTATTAAATAAAATTTTAAATTATAATTTATATTATTTTCTAACAGGATTTAAAAAGCAAGCAAATGAAGTCTCATTATTTGTATTTATTTGTATGGAGGTATATTTTTACCCATGAAATCGAACTTCACTCTTAATTCAAAATGTCCAGTATAACTTTTCTCCATCAATGCATTTTTTTTTTTGAAAGCTTAAGATGTTAATATAAAATCTTTGTTATTTTATAACGTTGAGGTTACTTATTTGGTGAAATAATTAATCATGTTTCCTTCTTGCTTGAATAAAAAGAATTAAGTCACTCTCACGAGAGACCATACTCCTTGAGGGCTAAGAGCTGGATTGCTTTAAGAATCTATTTTGTCTGCAAATAAATTAAAAAATAAAATAAAATTGTGGTCAATTGATCTAGCTCCTAGTGTTGGGTGACTTCAGAACAAGTAATATCTTGAGAAAATCCCCTGAGGCTTAGCACCAGAAATCTTCGATTGCTCTAACTTCTAGTGTTGGGTCAATTTACTTGAACATCCAACCCAAACCCACCTGTTAGTTGTTTGTTCATGGTTATTATATATTCATAAACAATCATTACTCGAACCTACCGAGCTCCTTCTCAGTGCCACCTAAAATCTCAATGCTCCATTTCATGGTTTCTTGGCCTCGTAAACTCTCTTCCATGCCATCAGATTCACTGCCTGGAGTAGAAATTCTATAAACTGTGCTTATGGAAATTTGTGCTTTCAAGCGCTAGGCCAGGCCGAGATCAAATGTCATCTTAGTCAGATCCCACGAGCATGAAATTGTTTGCACCTAACAAGTGGAACCTGAAATCCTGAATGCTTACTATTCTAAAAAAATAAAAAATATTTTATATGTATTTTTTGAATTATTTTAATATGTTGATATGAAAATTAAATTTTAAAAACTAATAGAAAATATTCTTTTAGAACTACTCCAGCTCGTTGGTGCTTTAGGCTTTTGAATCGTATTAATTGCGATCGCGATGCCTCGGTGGCCATAAATTGCAGATATAAATGCTCTCAGCGAGAAATTTGTTCCATTCATTTACAATTGAATATCGGCACTGTTTGGAGGTTGTACTCCTCCTCCTCCTCCTCCTCCTCCTCCTTTAACGGCATCAATCTTTAAAGTCTTGTAGAAATATATGGTGTTTTTTCATCGGCTGAATTCTACGAAACTCCTGAACCATGAGAAATTTCATGTTAGCAGGTAGGAATCATAAGAAAGTTGGTTTGCAAAATTTTAATGAAAAAAAAGTCACAAATAAGCTATTTCATACGCAATCAAACAATAATTCTACCGCACCTCCTTCAGTGTTTATATAAAAAGTAAAACAAGTGCTCTTTTTCTTTTTTCTTAATTTTCTTTTGATTTCATCATCTCCCCCTAATTTTGTTTATATAATTTTTGAACAGCGGCCTAAGTTATCTGAGGAACATCCAAGTTAGATAGATCACGTGAAGTGATTTCTAACATGATTTAATTTTGAAATTATGTTAGGTAAGGAATTAGTGAGATTTTTTTCTTGTTAATTTTGTTATTTTTTCTTGATTTCATCCTCAGATTTTTTTTAGCTGTTTATTGAGTTATTTTTGGATCGATAAGTCAACTAGATTATATCATAACAACTCTTGTATGGTTTAATTTTAAACTTGTGGTAAATAAAAAGATGGTTTAAGAGATTTTTTCTGACAATTTTATCACTGTATTTTTTTTACAAGTCATGTGAGTTATCTTTGAACTGACCAAGTTGAAGGGATCATATTAAAACAACTCTAATATAATTTAATTTTAAATTTAAATTAGGTAAGGTATCACGTCAAAGGCTTTTAATATTAACTCGTTAGACTGACTCTAATAACAATGCTAAATTCTTTATGCTTTGAACACATTTTTTGTTGCACAATAATATGACTCGCAATATATCATGAGCTTGTAAAATAGTATTCTCAGATCAAATTAAGAATGAACAAAAAAACTAAACAATCAATTAAATCGAGAAAACTAGAAAAAAATAATTGAAAAAATCACATCATGAAAAAAATTGATTATAATTTTTTTAAAAAAACTGACCAGTTTAGTTTTATAAACCTGAAACATAAAAAACCAAATCAAACTCAAATCTTAAAAAAAAACGAGTCAAACAAGGAAAAATCAGGAAAAAACCAAGATGGTCGATTTGAATCAGTTTTTTCCCTAAAATAATTGAACTAAAATCTGTTGATTTGAACCGGTTTTGGTTTGATTTTTATTTTTTTAAAAAAATTAATTTTATTTATTTTTTTAATAAAAATCAAACTGAATCAAATATAATCCCCTAAATCAACTAACAAAATTAACTTTATCTTAATAAAAAAAACACCTCTATCATGGTAAGGCTTTTGACATATTGTTTTTAAATATAACGAGTTTTATAGGCTTGCAATTTGTTACGAGTTGAATTAATAAAAGATTGAACATAACAAAAGATACTTAGATTGTAAAAAACTACTTAATATTCTTATTAAAGAGGCTCAAGCTCGTAAGTTGCTCTATGCACGCTCGCTCAAGCCTTTAGAGGCCTGGGTGTGATGTGCAAAGAGACCCGACCGCTTGAGCATTTTTTAGATTTTGTTTTTTAAAAAATTGCTTCTACCAATTTGATTCATAATAATTTTATTTTTATTGGTTTTTATTGTTTATTTTTTAAAATTTTATTATTTATTATTTTGGTGATTATTAATTAGACAATGTAATTTATTGTGGTTTGATTTTTTTAAATCTATCACAATTTCAAATGAATGCCCTAAGATTTGGTTGGTTTTCAATTTTTCAAATGTTTATTTTGGTAAAAAGTTGTTTAAAAAAATCACTAAGCCATAAATCATTAATTTAACTGATTAATTTAGTTAATTAGAAATTGATTTTTATAATATTTTTTTTATCTTATAAATAATTATTAATTTATTTAATTAAATAGTTAATTAGAAATTAATTTTCATAATATTTTTTATTTTATAAATAATTATTAATTAATTTAATTAAATACACAGTTAAACTTTTTAATTTACAAATAAAATTTTTTTATTTAAAAAAATACATAAAAAATACTGTTATATTTTAATATATATACACACACATACATACAGCCCGCTTGAAACGCATATCAAATTATTAGCATCTTTCTACTTTTGGTAGTGTGCGCTAATCCTTTTCTTGATACAATTGTTTTTTTCCTTTCACGTCAAAAACCAACTATTTTTCTCATTTAATTAAAAATAAAACCTTATCCACCAATCCAAGTTGTCAATGAAATGTTCAAGATTTATCATGGCGTTTGTACAAGTTGGCATTAAATGAGTGACCTCATCGAAATATCTGTGATTTAAAATCATGAATTCATGAAAGATTTTAATTAAATAACCATTTATCTTTCTTTTTTTTAAAAAGGAGAAAAATACAATACATGGCAAGTTATAATGTTGTCAAATGATGGAGATGAAAGAGACATATCACTATATATTATAATTTAATAAAATAAAAACTTAATATAAAACTATTTTAAATACATAATTTATTTTATATTTCTGTTTTTATTTTTCTAATTAAACATGGAGATACTAATCAAATATAACCTTACTATTTTTAAACAAAATCTTAAATAAAAGATTTCAAGAAAAAGACTTCCAAATTATATTTAATAAATTAACATCGCTCGGAAATCTAAAAAGCAAGAGCCTTGTTTTGCTGACAAGTTAAAGAAAAACAATATATCAAGAAAGTCTTAAAAAAAACACAAAACAAAAACAAATTCCAACTAAGCAATCAGAAAAGAAGAAACAGAGCCACCATGGCCGGTGCGATCGTCCTTCGCGGATCTTTTTTCAGCTTTCTAAATTCTACCACTCTCTCTCTCTCTCTCTCCCCCCCTGTCTCCCTTGCCCTCTCTCTCTTCTCTGCCACAAAAGAAAAAAAAGAAGAAGAAGCTTTCATAGTAAATTCTTTTTTAAACTCGTATTTTTTCTTTCTTTCAATTTATCTGAAGAAACTTTATAAATGTCTGAAAAAAAAAATAGTAACAAAATAAAGTTATAAGACAGGCAGGGAGAAAGAAACCAAACCCCCACAAATAGCAATAATTCACTTCTCTTTTTCATTTCTCCCTTTTCGTAGTATATCTCTCTTTATTGCCAGCTCCCCCCCTATTTCTAGCGTTCATTCTCTCTCTCTCTCTAACAATCTCTGCGTTTGCGCATGCTCATCTTTTGACTCAGAAATTTCCGGGTACGTACGTATATTCTTTGACAGAAAGATGGACTCTGATTGTTTCTTTTTTTTTTTAAAGAAAATTATGGAATTCTGTTAGATCCCTTTTGATTTCGCATTTTATTTTATGTTTTATGATCTGGGTTTTCGTGATCTTGTTCAAATATTGGTGGGTTTCGTTTCTGTTGATGATCTCAGCTTTGATCTGATTGTAAGTTGGATTTTTTCTTGTTTTGTCTGTTTGTTGTTCTTTTGTTTTTTTGTTTGATGATCTTTCAATTTTGTTTCCCTGTATTGATTTGATTTTTTTCGATGCTTAATAGTTGATGATGATGTTTGTATAAATATTTTTTTCATTCAGAAATGTTTTGATTAACTTGAGAGCTTCGTGATGATCTTAATCAAATATATTGGTCAATGGATAATCGATGGTTGATTGAGAAAAATCCCGGGTTTGTTATCAAATGATGTTTGCTTTTGATAGAAAACGACTAGATCATTGATCGATAAGGTTTATGCTTTATAGTATGGCGATTCAAACTGCTGGCATTTGGTTATCGTATATTGGATGGTGGAATGATTTGCTAAGACTGGTAGGGGTGTCATCTTTTGGAGATAGTTGCTGATCGAGGGTCTTATAGTTTTTGTTGTGATTCTATGTGAATATATCTGATAGCGGTTGCTTAAGAATCAAAACAACTAGGGAACATGGTAGGTTGTTAGTGGATAGTATGAAAATGTTCTGTATCTAGTTTTAAGAATCGGTCAGTTACAGAACTATCTGAAAACGGATGAAAGCGTGTACAAGAGAAGTGTGATTATTGCTGTTACCGGAAGGCTGATTGAGGATCCCCCAGAACGTGTGCTGACTTTTTTTTTATGCTTTCGCTTTCAAGTAGAGATTGCAATTGGAGAAAAAGGTTATAGACAAGCTGAATTGATGGTCATGGTCCTTGTACAAAAGTAGCAGTTCCATATTTTGGGTGTAACATGCAATGAGCCTGGTCGGGGAGTTTGAATTTATCGATAGCTTCTCACAGTTCATGCATTGTGAATATTGACCAATTCTGGACCAGCATCTGCAGATTTCTTAGAAGAAGAATTACAATTTCTGGTCTGAGATTACGAATAATACGTGATGCTAGGATAATAGCCACATGGTTTCTCATATCATATCTGGTAATTTAAAGTGGGTAGATGACTATCGTGTGTGAAGGGCAGTGGGAAATGTAGCTCTGGATGTCGAGGGTATGGAATCCAAGGATTTTCAAGGATTATATAATGGGGTTTCTATTCATTTAATTCCTAATGCTAACATTTTCTCGCTACATGAAGTAAAGGTATTATGCTTCGAGCCAAGGCATGTGGGGATCCTGCACCTGCAGGACGTGCCAATAAGATGAGAGTTATTGCCAATTACTCAAGTATTTCAAAACGGTCTGTCATCTTTCATAAATGGATGATGGATAATATGAAATGGAAACTGGGAAAGCAAACCATAAAACCTGACGTGAAGCCTATAAGTTGATGGTTCTAGAAAAAAAATAAGAGGGGAAATCTAATGATTGCTGTGCCCATTTCTGAGGACATTATATTAATGGACAAACTTCCAGATATGTGGAAAGAATTGGATGAATGCTGAGCCTTGCTGTGCAAGCTAAATGTTAAAGAAAAGAGGAGAAGATTAGTGTGATCACGTCTAATACAAAAGTTATTAAATCAGAAGTGCTAACGAGATATCCAGCAGTACACAAAAAAAATATAGTTAGATGCTTTTGGAAAGTGCTGTGTTCTTATTCTTATAATATCTATAGCACAGATACATTTTTAGCTTTTCGAATGTCATCAATGCTTGTTTGATACCTCTGGAAACTTGTAGGATTCTCCTAATCTGCCCCCCTTCCGCACAAAAATAAATAAAATAAGATAGAACAGGATACCCATTTGGTGTTATACTGCAGCTTTCCAATGCATTTCAGCCTGCATCCATGAATGCTCCGGAGCCCCTGAAGTGGCTAATCACTGTGGTGTGAGCAAAGACATGCAATTGAGAAACTTTCTGCACCTCTATAGCAAACCCCTTCCAAAAGCAAAGTAAAGAAATAAAAATGATGATGATGAACAGATAAATATACCCTGTTCGTATGGTGTGGGGTAATTTTCATTTAAGATCTTTTGAAAGTATTCAGAGGGAATTCTGATCATTTAGAGTCCAAGCAGTAAAATAGTTTCTATTTGTCGGAGCAGTTCTTAGTTATTGACCATGAAATTTGATAGTCATGTAATTCCCCTGGTTGATTTGTTCTGGATGCTGCAGTAGAATTATCTTCTTTGTTTGTGAATGGTGCAAAAAATTTGCAGTGTATGTAATTTTTCCCAATTATTGATCTTTTAATCTTGCAGCAGGCTCTTGTGCAATTTTCAAATAGCTGATAGCTGGTTTTCAAACATTATCTACTCAATTTTTTCCCCATAAAAAGCAATTACAAGAAGGATTTTAGGCAATGTCTAGCTCAACGAAAGCTCTGGATCCTGCGTTTCAGGGAGTGGGCCAGAGACCGTATCCTATACAGAATAAGCAACTTCATACATGAAAATTTGTATCATGCATGTGCTAACTTTTATCTTGTTGAATGGAGTTGAGTGCGTGACTTTTTCTTAATGAAATTTGTTAAAGGTTAAACATTCTCCTCCCTGTTACACTTAACACATTTTATAGAGGGACTGAAATTTGGAGAATCGAGAATTTTCAGCCAGTTCCACTGCCAAAATCTGATCATGGAAAATTCTACATGGGGGATTCTTACATTGTTTTGCAGGTACTCCCTCTTTCTCACACTCTTTTTTAATTCTTGTGTCTGTCTTCTGTTTTTCCTTAATTTGTCCTCAATTGTATGGTGAACAAAATTTTTGTTGGCGTTGTGGGTTTAATATTTTTTTTTAATCTATTTATTTCTTTTAGTTTCTGAAACAAAATATCTGCATTAATTGATGGAGTCTTGTAGATATCTTGCTTGCAGAGAGCATGTTAATTTATTTGGATTATTGTAACTTTTATTTTGCTATGAAGTGAATTCCTTATGTTTCTTCACTTCATCTAATGCTTGCTTGTCCCCTCTTTTTTTTTTCGTAGACAACCCCTGGCAAAGGAGGTGCTTATCTGTACGATATCCACTTCTGGATTGGAAAAGATACAAGTCAGGTGTGTTTCTGACTTTCCAAACTTCCTCTTTAAGGACTTGGTTTTGCTATTATCTTGTCTTCACATATGATATAAGAATTGAAATTATACTCACATAATGTCATAACATTATTACAGGATGAAGCTGGAACAGCAGCTATCAAAACCATTGAACTGGATGCAGTTCTTGGAGGGCGTGCGGTTCAGCACAGGGAACTTCAAGGACATGAATCTGACAAATTTTTGGCATACTTCAAACCCTGTATTATACCATTAGAAGGGGGTGTTGCAACTGGGTTTAAAAAAGCTGAGGAGGAAGCATTTGAAACACGATTGTATGCATGTAGAGGGAAACGCGTTGTCAGAATGAAGCAGGTATAACCATGTCAGATCTTGTAACGTGAAGTTCACGAACCCACAATAAAATCTTCTCAAATGTGAATCTGCCACAAGGCAGGATCATATGATTCTGGGTTTTGCTTGTGCAGGTTCCTTTTGCCCGGTCATCATTAAATCATGATGACGTGTTTATCTTGGATACTGAGAACAAGGTCTATCAATTCAATGGTGCAAACTCTAATATCCAGGAAAGAGCCAAGGCTTTAGAAGTGATTCAGTTTTTGAAAGAAAAGTATCATGATGGAACATGCGATGTTGCAATTGTTGGTAAGTAACCTGGATTTACAATTTCATATCACATTCCTCCTTTCCAGTCCTTACACTTTTCAACAGGCATACTTTATCCAGCCATGTTTTATTTGTTTTGTGCAATTCTAGTGTTAATATTTATTTGCCTGCTACTTATCTCTACATAATTGCTTTTGTGATGCTAGATGACGGGAAGTTAGACACTGAGTCAGATTCTGGTGAATTCTGGGTCCTGTTAGGTGGTTTTGCTCCAATTGGCAAAAAGGTTGCCAGTGAAGATGACATCATCCCGGAGACAACTCCAGCCAAGCTTTACAGGTATTATGATCTTATATGATTTTGTTTGTGTATCCTTGTAGAATTACGAGATTTGAAAATTAATGTAGAGTTGTGATTTTTCCTCCCTTTTTTTTTTACGTTATTGCCTATACATGGAAATGTTTACTTCTGCTACTCATCATTTTATGAAGAAAACAAGTACTTTTAGCTGTCGTGTTTATGCTGCCCTTTGCATTCACTTCAGAACTACAGAACTCACTAATAAGCTGAAATATGACACTTAGTGAATCTGCATATGAGCTTAAAATAACAGTGTTATCTTCTTTACGCACACTCCTTGTCATCCGCGTAACAATTATTGGTATGTACTTGTTGGCATCCAATTAATTTTAATATGCTATCTATTTTTCTGGGATTTCTGGAATCTGTGGCCTAATAGTTGGCATACCATTGTGCATAGTTCCATGATGTCATGTTCAGTGTTATCATTGAAGAATGGAGGTATGCGGGCTTCATACAATAAATTTGTCATTGTTGTAATCTAGCTCCATATAGGCATCTCTTATTGTGCCTTCATTTATTATCTTGGTCTAGATGGTAGGGGTAGAATTTTATTGAAACAAGTTATTCTACTAGAACTTCAGTGTTTCTTGTGGAGGGAATTGTGCTGTAAAAGACTCATCTGGTTCCTATTAATTCCATGACCTCATCCAAATTCAGTTTAACCTTGCACATTCATTTTTATTATCTTCATAGAGTTAATTTCCTTTATTTTGGAAGAAACATGGGCACATTTAATCTGCTTCCAATGTTTTTATGATCTCTCTCACTTAGCAACAGAAGCTACTCAATGCTAATTTGTAATCATTGATACATGTAGCATTGCTGATGGTGAGGTGAAGATGGTAGATGGCGAGCTGTCCAAAGGACTGTTAGAAAATAATAAATGTTATCTCCTTGACTGTGGTTCTGAGGTATTTCTTTGGGTTGGCCGTGTAACACAAGTGGAGGAGAGAAAAGCTGCTAGTCAGGCTGCTGAGGTAGAGACATGCATATATTTCTTCATCAAAACAAGGACATGAAATCCCATCTCCAAGGCTGTTTTGCATTTCTTCTCTACACAAAATATGGGATCTCATTTCCAAACTATTTTTGCAGGAATTTGTGGTGAGCCAAAACAGGCCGAAAGCTACTCGCATAACCAGACTGATTCAAGGTTATGAGACACATTCATTCAAGTCAAACTTTGATTCTTGGCCTGCTGGATCCGCAGCTCCTGGTGCTGAAGAGGGAAGAGGGAAAGTAGCAGGTAATGATCACATGCTGAGAGTTGAATTAAGCAACATATTTTTGGCTAACATTATTAAATTTGGTATTTGGTGTAATGGTAGCTTTGCTGAAGCAACAAGGTGTTGGTCTCAAGGGTATGACAAAAACTGCTCCTGTAAACGAGGAAGTACCACCTTTGCTTGAAGGAGGTGGAAAGATGGAGGTTTAGTTTGGGTCCCTTCAATGTGTTTTGGGAATTTTTGAATCTTAGGCTTGTTAAAATCAATAATTCTTGGAACATTGAATTCTGTTTGGTTTGCAGGTATGGTGCATCAACGGCAGTGCAAAGACTCCATTGCCAAAGGAGGATATTGGTAAATTTTATAGTGGAGATTGCTACATCATACTCTATACCTATCACTCTGGTGATAGGAAAGAAGATTACCTTCTCTGCTGTTGGTTTGGAAACGATAGCATAGAGGTAATTTATATTGTTGAAGTTGGGTTAAGATAATTGAAAGAAGTATGGGTAATGATGGAGATGTCTCCAAGTAAATAACATAAACGGTTGTGGAAGGTTCCTGTGCATGTAAAAACAGATACATTGTACGTTCTTCCACTCCTTTGGCATCGCGCACACATTGTTCTGCTATGAATGTGAACAAATGCAAAAATACCAACTCCTGCTCGATGTACTGCATTTTGACTTTGTTTTTCACTATTTCACTCAAATCTTTTCTTAATCACTTAAACCATGGTAGTTGTCAATGTCACTTTGCCATGTCATGATTGCTGCACGGAAGAAATGCCTATAAATTTATCTGTTGATTGTATTGCCTTATATTAGTGGGACTTCATTTAGTTAGTTTAATATCGAGTTCTGTGGTTGCCCAATCCAGGAGGACCAGAAGATGGCTGCTCGGCTGGCTAATACAATGTCCAACTCATTAAAGGGCAGGCCTGTACAGGTACGATATAATCTGAAGTTAAATTGTGGATATTGCTCCTATGATTTGCATATAATAGTTGCTTCTTGCAGGGTCGCATTTTTCAAGGTAAGGAGCCTCCACAGTTTGTAGCACTTTTTCAGCCGTTGGTGATCCTCAAGGTGCGCATTTTAAATCTTTTACAATTCCTGTGTTACAATTGAAGTCACAATTATTATTGTAATTCATCTGTTTGGTTAGCTGTAAACAAAGATGCTTTGATTCCTCTTCAGGGTGGTCAGAGCTCTGGTTACAAGAATTCTCTAGCCGAGAAAGGATCAGATGAAACCTACACTGCAGATTCTGTTGCACTCTTTCGGATATCAGGAACTTCAGTTCATAACAATAAGGCAGTGCAAATTAAAGCAGTATGTGGTCTGATCATTGAGCTTTTCTTTTCTGCTGATAGATTTTGTTTCTCTTGAAGTCTACTACGAAGATATTTAATAATTTGGAGACCACAATTCTTCTATTCACTATGATCAACAGTCTGTTACAGTTTTAGAAACGATCACCTTTTTTCCCATCTGAACAATTCAAAATTTCTCCAGTTTTTCTTTAGAAGTGAATAGGAAAGATCCATCTTCACATTCCTTCAAAAGCTTTTTGAGTATAATCTTAATACCTTATTGCATCAATCGCTGGTAAAAGAAAAGGAGTAGCACCAACAGTTATGCATACCCCATCAAATTATTCTCTTTCAGGTGGCATCGTCATTGAACCCTGCAGAGTGCTTCCTTCTGCAATCTGGCTCGTCAATTTTCACCTGGCATGGGAATCAAAGCACCTTTGAGCAGCAGCAGCTGGCTGCAAAAATTGCTGAATTTTTGAAGGTACCATCCTTACTGGAAATGCAACCTTTCTGATTTTTTTAAAACATGTTTTCCTATTGGAAAGAATATCATTGGCTTGTTTTAAACACTTAATTACAAAAGTACCTATAAAACAGGAACGTGATATAAAAATGATGCCTGATATTTCAAATTTAGCCATGTTGCTTTTCATTTTATTGCACACATCAAAGGAAGTAGTGATATTTTTAAATCTGTAATATCAGATATTCTCCAATTTTTTATTGAATTCTTGATATTTGGATTTCATTAAGCAATTAGTTAATATTAAAATTTACCTTGGGACCTATTAAATACATATGCACACACGTACACACAAAAATAGAGCAGCTGCGGATTTAGTTAAAATTGCATTTCAATTGCCATGTGTCCTGTAGTTTCTCCTATTGAAGGTCTTGCAACTCGAACGAAATTCCATTTTTTTTCTTTTATTTGATCTTCATCTTACTATCACTTGCCTCACTAATTCAGCCAGGAGTGGCTTTGAAACATGCTAAAGAAGGAACTGAAAGCTCATCTTTCTGGTTTGCCCTCGGAGGCAAACAAAGTTACACCAGCAAAAAAGTTTCTCCAGAAACTGTCAGAGATCCTCACCTGTTCACATTCTCCTTAAATAAAGGTGACATTTCTAATTTTGAACCTTGTCTGATACTCTGAAATTTTCATTTATTTTCTTTTGAAATAAATCTGATCGAAACTGTCATCTGAGATTTTTAAGTGGCTGAAATAACATTCTAACTGGGCTTTTTTATGATCATTTTTGCTGCTATGCGGATTGCCAGGGAAATTTCAGGTGAGTTCTAGATTTTAAGTGTTGTTGAAAATTCTTGCTATACAGCTTCTTAGAGGCTTCTCATGTTCAATTGGGCAGGTTGAGGAAATTTACAACTTCTCTCAAGATGACTTGTTGACTGAGGATATCTTGATACTTGATACACATGCAGAAGTGTTTGTTTGGGTTGGTCAGTCTGTAGATCCCAAAGAAAAGCAAATTGTTTTTGATATTGGCCAGGTAGTGCTTAAAAGTGTACTGCTTTTGTCAGATTTTTCCTGTCAGTGTTACTTACAGTATATGTTCCTTTGCAGAAATACATTGAGATGGCTGTATCTCTGGATGGTTTGTCTCCATATGTACCACTGTATAAAGTTACTGAAGGAAATGAACCATCGTTCTTTACAACATACTTTTTGTGGGATCCCATAAAAGCCACTGTATGTACTGAATCAAGCATTATTTATCTTTTCTCAAGTCATATTATTTTATAATCTCACTATTGAAATATTGTCATTGAGAATAGTAAAATCCAGAATGTTATGAGTGGCATATTTATGAAGGAGTTGGGATGGATGCTGTGCACGTGGATGAATTCCCGGAAATCCTGTTATTGGGTAGGATAGAAGAAAATGTAGTTTGCATTACTTAACAAAGGCTTAGCTTGGTAGTGCTAGTAGATCATTGATGGAATGCCTATATAGTCACCTCCAAACCTTTACACTAACTTGATCAAGTTTAGCGAGTCTCATTAAAAACACAAAAAACTAAACAAGGGTAGAAGCACTAGTCTTTTCACCATGCCAATGGGAACGGGATGAGAATCATTTATTATAAATAGGTTCTAGAAATAGAATCAAGGCAAAAGGATTTTTTAGTCCAATTGGATATCAGTTAAGGGGACTATTCTACCTTGCATTGAGTGTTTGTAAAAGTTTGTTGAATTCCACTTCACTCATACACTACATCTCCACAAAATCTAAGGGCATCCCTATGTTAAAAAATCAGTAAAGGAACTTCAACACTAGCTTCTCTACTCTACTTGGGCCCGCCCATTATTAACCATTTACCAAAAAAAAACATTACACCATATGCCCGGAGCTTTTAACTTAAACAATGATAATCATGATTATGAAGACAAAGTTTGGAGCTCAGAATCTGGATGTGTCATTTGTAAAAAAATTAAAAATAAAGAAACAAGCAAACATGGTTTGGATCTTAAGATTAATACTCTGTTATTCACAAAATTCTCTTTGTTCACGTATATCCCATGTTCAATAACTTGTTCTTTTGTTAGTTTGTTTAAAAAATTTGTCCTTGCACTGCAGGTTCAAGGAAACTCATTCCAAAAGAAGGCTGCATTACTCTTTGGGTTAGGACATCATGCTGTGGAGGTAAATACGTTGCTTGAAGCAAAAAGCTGGTACATAACTTGGCAATTGATAGATAACTGTACCATTTGTTGTTTGAATGAATTTAAACTAATTTTTTGTCTTTATAATGAGACATTTCTGTAATCTGTTCTCCCAAGTTTTTTCTCCACTATGTAAGTAGCTTCTTTTGGCTACTTTTCTTCTCCTCAATTGTCTTAATTTCTTCCACTTTTGAATGCTATGATGAGACATTTCTGTAATCTGTTCTCCCAAGTTTTTTCTCCACTATGTAAGTAGCTTCTTTTGGCTACTTTTCTTCTCCTCAATCCCACGAGCCATGTTGACATCGTGTCTTTCTTCATTCTCCTTTTTTCCATTCTTCTCTTTCTTATTCACTTCATCATGTTTTATGTATATCCTTGTTTCCCATATTCCTGATCCCCAATTACGACGCATACATTTTTGCTGACAGCAATTGTCTGGCAATAGGACCCTGCCAACCAGGATTTGCATTCTAAGTTGTAATTTACCCCTTGCTGTTCTTGTTCTCCCTGTATGTGATAATGCAGTTGAGTCAGGTCTTACATGCAGTGTTGGTGTTGACGTTGATGATGATGCAATGCATGATTAATTTTTTGCAGGACAAGTCCAATGGAAATCAAGGAGGGCCAACCCAACGGGCTTCAGCATTAGCTGCCTTGTCTTCGGCATTTAATCCATCTTCTGGGAAGTCATCACATCTGGTAAATATTTTGTTCATGCAACCACGTGTGGTAAATTGCCTTTCATCTTTTCTCCTTGACTTTGTATGAGTCTGCTTTCTGTCTCTTTCAATGTTAGCTGCTTACTGTTTTGTATGTATTCATATTTCTTTATTCAATGGGTTTCTTCTTTCTTCCCTTCTAGTAAACAAGTCATATCCTTTCCAAACTGACAAACCAACAGTGAGGAAGAGTATGGCTAGCCTTGTGTCCTTGCATGTTCTCAATAGGTCCATGGAGGTCACATTTTCTGGTTAATTAAAGTCTTGGTAATTGAGTAAATTTTTTTTTTTCATAAGTGGCATAATTCTAATTTTTTTGGTTTTCCTCTCTTTGACCGGAATCAGCTGGAAATTTGATGGTTACAAAGCATTGTCCATGCATGTTTTGTTGCTTTTACAAGCATCTGCTGCTGATCAATGTTGTATATTTTCACCTAGAATTTGCGTTTGGATGTATGGTTAGGTTTCTAACATTAGCTTCTTGCTCATATGACTTTGTTTATTTACAAGTTTTTCTTGCAATTTCTTCAAAGCATGCTTTTATTACCAAAGCTCTTGTACCTAATAGTGATGGTGCATGTGTGTTAAGAATTCATTTACTGAATCATTTTTTGGCCTAATGATATGGATGTGATTTGAGGCGCAGGATAGATCTAATGGATCCAGTCAAGGAGGGCCGACACAGAGAGCTTCAGCTTTAGCTGCCTTATCCTCTGCATTCAATTCATCACCAGGATCGAAAACTACTGCTCCAAGGCCATCTGGGATTGGTCAGGGATCACAAAGAGCTGCAGCTGTTGCTGCTCTTTCATCAGTTCTTACTGCTGAAAAGAAAACACCCGAAACATCTCCTTCTCGTAGTCCTCACTCAGAAACCAACCTTCCTAGTAAGAAATCATCTTTTTGCATGTTTCAGATGGCAGTATCTTAGATATGAAGAAATCACAGTTGCTTTTAAAATGTCTATCTTATTCTGCAAGAGTACATTTTTTTTCTGTTGAGAATTAATAATCTCCAATTTAATTTGATCTCATATATGTATGTATAAGAATTGAACAATATAAGACACTTATGCACTTGTAGCTGAAGGGAAAAGTGAAACACAATCTGAGGTTGAGGGTTCTGAAGGAGTTGCAGAAGTCAAGGAAATGGAAGAAACTGCATCTGTACCTGAAAGCAATGGGGAGGATTCAGAAAGAAAGCAAGATACAGAACAGGAGGGGAATGACGATGGGAATAGTCAAAGTACATTCAGTTATGATCAACTGAAGGCTCACTCTGACAATCCTGTAAAAGGAATTGATTTTAAACGGAGAGAGGTCGGTCCTATTCTCAAATTTGTTACTTCACTTGAATTTGTTATCCGGATTGGAATTCAAGTTTTTCTCTGCTTGAATTTCAGGCTTATCTATCAGACGAGGAGTTCCAAGCTGTTTTTGGGGTGACGAAAGAAGCATTTTATAAAATGCCAAAATGGAAGCAGGACATGCAGAAGAAGAAATTTGATTTATTCTAGAGATCAAATCAGGTCCATTAAAGGGAATTATTTTTCTACCCTTTTGTGCTCTAACTCAAATTTCCTCGATCATTATGGACTCGACTGCTCCTGCTGGAAAACTGTGCTTTCATTGGTGGTGAGCCATGCCTGGCTTGTTTTGTCTAGCATCTCACTAGTTACTCCTTGATGATGGAGTGTAGCAGTGATTAGTAAGCGGTATTGATTGTGATTATGCATGAAGAGTGAGTTTTGCCCGTGTTTTTTTTACTTTAAATCTACCTCTGCCTCTTGTATTGATACCAGACTGTAGTCTCTGGCAGTTGGGAGGTCAAATTCTTTTATTTGGTCACAGAGTATCTCATTGGTGATTATTTGACTTTATTCTTCCTTCTTTTTAATCTTTTTTATTTTTTGAGAAAAAAGGGTGTATATGTACTGCACTTGTAATCAAATTCCAGTATACAGGAACCGAAAGTTGTTGTTTGGATGGAACAAGCATGTATGGTTGTGTGCAAAGAGTTATTCAGTAAGCTTTCATACCTTTCAGTCTTATTGCTATTATGCGATCTGTTCGTTTCCTTTCAGGTGCACTCCCAGGTTTGTGAGCTCTTTCAGTAATGGAGTTCTTAGGAGTCAGTTTTGCATGAATTTTTAGCTCTTTCCTTTCGAGTTATAATTCCTAAGTTGTTTTTCATAGATAATTTATGATAAAAATGAATGTGCTAAAAAATGCTCAAAAACAATTTCTTAAATAAGAAAGTATAACCTAAAATTCGTAAATTAAAAGGCTAAAAATATCAATTTATTTTATTAAAGAGTCTTGGTGGCATGACTCTTGAATTTGATGTATTTCATTAATAATTTATGATAAAAATGAGTTATTTTGACTGCATTAGCATTATTTAGAAAACAAAAACCGTCACCTCGTATAAATTGAGCTGTGGTGTTGGTATCTTGCTCCATGGATGGATAATCCTTGTCATCTGATGGGTCTCCCGGTTTTTTGGAGCTGGCCTATGCATTGGTGGGTTGATGCTTGATATTAATTAGTTTTAAAAAATAAAAAAAATATTAAAAAAAAATTATTTAAAAAAATATTTAGTTTTAACCATTTTAATCAAATCATATATTAATATATCAGATCAACCAAATCAATTATAAATTGATATATTTTTTAAGCACTTGGTATAAAGAATTAGTTAGTGGGATAATATGTTTAGAAATGTAGTTGTAGTTGTAGTTGATTTTTAAAGTAATTGTTATTTATAAATATATTAAAATTATATTTTTGATATTAATACATCAAAATAATTTAAAAATACTAGATAAATATTAATTTAAAATAAAAATAAATAAATTTAAATATTTTAAAATATAAAAGCAAAAAAATCCTACCGTCATTAATTTACTCACGTGAACAAAAGTTTTGGTTTTCAACATACGTACAATCTTGTCGGTTAATTTTGAAATCCAGGAATATTCTCGTTTACTTTTTTGCCCGCAAAGAAAATTGGGTTTCACGTGTTTCTTTATTAGGCCATGGCGTTTACTTTGTTGCCCGCAAGCTAATTAGGTTTCACATGTTGGATTATTAGGCCATAAAAGTTCTATTAATTATTATATTTAATTAGGTTATTAGGCAGTTTACATTGATTAAAATCTCCCCGTGACAATTAATTAATAGAGTAGAATGTTCTATCATTATTTTGTTGATTATGTGAAGAAAGAGTCCCCTCCCAAGATTCGCAAAGCCACCATCCGTGGGATTAATTTTCTTCTTGTACATTTAATCATCTAGATGATGGTTAAGTGGTAAGGACTTGGGATTAAGGGGTTTGCTTCTTCTGTGGTCTTAGGTTCGAGTTCTTGGTTGTTCATATGATAGCCACTGGAGACTTACGTGGTCGTTAACTTCAGGGCCCGTGGAATTAGTCGTGGTGCACGCAAGTTGACCCGAACACCCACATTAATCTAAAAAAAAAATTTCTTCTTGTGGAGATTCTACTATACTCATATGAAGTAATTAATAATATTTATTTAATAGGAGGGAGATTGAAAAGAGATGGAAAAAACAGAACTTTGAGAATTTTTAAAAAAAAAAATAGATGAAAATATTTTTATTCTCTTTTATAGAGTCGAGTATAGTTCTCTTTTTGTTCACAATGTTTCTCATCATTTGAAGTGAGTTCATAAAATAACTATTATTAGTTATTTATTGAATGTTTCAAAAATATTTTGCCTTTTGTCTAATTATTTTATCTTTTTTACTTGAAAAAAGAAAAACCTCTCATGGTGGTGGATAACAAACATTATAATATATCAATGTAGGTGGATAAAAAAAGAATGTAGCTCATGCTTGAGTTTGCACCATTAAGCCATCTTTAATGGTATTAAATTAATTAATTAATTGCAAAGAATGTAGTTTGTGGAGGAGCGGCCCCCAACCTTTCGGCCGAGTGTCATTACCAAACCCGCTGTTGAAAGTAAACCTATCTCAAATTTATTTCAAGCCTGTTGCTTTTACGTTGTTAAAATATTTTAAGAAAATTATTTTTTTTATTTTATATTTTCAAATAATTTTTTAATATTTTAATATCAGAAATAATTTTTAAAAATAATATATATATATTTTTTAAAAAATATTTTAAAAAATAACCATTATTAAACTTGCAAAAACCCTTTTAGTGTGACTGGCATGAAAAAAATTAAATTAATATTTTTAAATTATTTTGTAATAAATTAAATTTATTAATATGAAAAATAAAAATGCTATTTTAATTTATTTTTAAATTAAAAATACTTCTAACATTTTTTCAGTACTTTCTTTAATTTAATTCAAATTTTACCTTCATTTTTAAACTTTAGAAATAAAGAATAGGTGATATCCGGAAGTTAATCATATCGTGTGTGCTTCCTATTTTATTTTTTTGAAAAAAGAAATTAATCCTTAGATTAGTTTGAAGATAACATTTGAAAAGTGAAACTACTCTAAAAATAAATGATTTTTTAAAAACTCAATTTCAATACCCAAGTCTTTGTCGTGAAGTAAATTCAAATTGAAATTGAAATTCATGCGTTGGAGTAAATTCAAATTGAAAGCGATGGTGCTGATGTTCGAATTGGACCATGACTGATGTTTCTAGTTTCAACCCTAACGGACGCTTTAAGAACATTGATTGTAGGAAATATCTAACCAGCTTCTTTAACATGAATTGCCTACCTTAACTAAATCGAGAATGGACTCGTTCTTGCCCCCACGACAGCTACGAAGCAGCCTCCTAGGTTTGGATTGGACTGCACTGCAGTTGGAAACCCTTTTTATTCCCACAGTTTGGTGATATTCTTGTGTCATTTTCTGAATATTAATAAGAGTCATAATTTATTTAGTTAAATTCTAGATTTATTATTTAAAGATTATAATCTTGTAAATTTTAAAATTATTAAAAATTTACATAATTATTAATTTTAAAAATTATAAAATTAATCATAAATTAATCCGAACATCTATATTAATAATAAAATAAAATAAATCTACCCTTGCTATGTTAATAATGGATTTTCCTTTCTAATTATGCCCTTTATGGGATGCAAAAAACGTGTATTTTTATTTTTATCTTGTCGTCACTGTAATTATGACTATGGGAATTGACTATGAATGTACATATTCAAATACGAAATGTCCTTTTAAAAAGTATCTGATTTTTTTTTCCTAGCCGATATGGAATAGTAATATCATCCCAAATATCCTTTTTCTTGTTTTGTTTTTACACGCGTCGAAATGGAAATTTTCTCTAATAAGACGAAATTGCTGCTTGAAGGTCAGCATTGAGCATCCAATGAAGCTCTCTCTCTCTCTCTCTCTCTCTCCAAAGGATGAAATTCTAAAAATTAGAAGAAAAAAAAGCAAAAAAAAAAAGCATCCAAAGGAAAGAAAACTGACCATTCAGCAAGAATAAAGCTGCATGGCTATCATATTCAACATGGCCTAACAAGTTTAACTTGAAAACCCCTTGCTTCATAGCCTAATTTGAAGGGGGTTTGTGTTAAATCTAATTCATAATAGACTCAAGTAAACTCAAGCAATTCAATTATGTTTGGACTGACACAGCTAACCCGGCCAAACTCAATTCAAACCTAGCTTGGCCAACAATACCATCTTTAATTTTTTTATCTAAAATAATATTATTTTAATTGGTTTAAGTTGACTAATAAACCCTCAACTCAACACAATAGAACCACAATCCAAGCATCGAGCTGTGTCAAACCCTGAACCGGTATCATGACTATTACATTGAAGTCACAGAGAAATTCCATAAATGGGGGGCACCATTGAATTGTAAAATCTTAAATTCATACATACAATTACTACAAGAATAGTCAATATCCTGACAATACTTCAAACAGCTAAAGTCACGAAAATGCAAGGAAACCTTCAGAAATCTAAACTTAAATGACTAAAAATCCACAGGGCAAGTGTAGTAATCTTTAACATGTCAGCCCTTTAAAAATGGCAGAGAAAAAGGGACGAAACATACTGCACACACTTTTCTACTACCGCCACGTACCCAGCAGCTCGTTAAACCCTTGTCAGAATTCAGAACCATTTCAGCCATCTTTCCCCCTTTTTTATTCCTTTTTTCTAATGCCATGTGAATACATTTACTAGCTAGCTAGGGTTTGCTTGGTTGGGCAAGAGCTGGCTCCAAAGGTGAAAGCAAAGGTGCTTGATTGACACGTTTCATTGCTTTTCATGCCTTGAAATAAAACCCTGAAGAAGAAGATCATAATTCATAAGCACGTGTAGTTGCTTTACATCCTCTCCATCGTCCTCTCCCTCTGACTTTAACTTCTTTATGCAGAAATGAGCAACAATTCTAGCAATCTTTTTTTTAAAAAAAAAAAAAAACCTGTGCCTAAATTGCCGGGTTAACCCGTGATTAAGGTATTTTACGGTTTAAGTTGAACCAGGTTTCAATAAAAATTAAAAACTCATCTAGATCAACTCATCTAGCACCCAAGTTTAACCCGATGGCATTTAAAAACCATGAAATCAAGTGTACAGCCTTTGCTTTCACCTTTTTTTGGTACAAAAGATCCATTCTTTACGAAGGGGTCATCAAAGAGGGGATCATTAGCGTGCATAATTAAAGGTTATTTATTGCATCCTTTTATAGAAAATCAACTATCAATTACATAAAGTAGGCAAACATTTAGGAACATAATTATAAAACGTTGACCAAAGCATCCTTTTTTTTTTTTGTCTCCCACGTTCGCATTAAACCTCTTTTTTTTTTCAATTATGTTTTTAAATTTAAATTTAATATTTTTTCGGTGATAAATAAAATCATGAGATCATCGTAATTAAGATTATTATTCAACAAACTCAAATATCATTTTAACAGTAAAGTAATCTTAATTACAATAAATCTAAGCTAAGCAATATTACAATACAGACTATTTAAAAAAAAATACATTCAAATAATTTTTAAAAAATTTTAACATCAATATATTAATATTATAAAAAAATTAATATCTTTTAAA